TTTGCTATACTTGGATAGATATTCCAGCTATTTTACGTGTCAGGCGGAGGAAGTCGCTAAGTAATGGCTATAAAATAAGGCATATTATCATATGTTCTATCTGGAACACACTAATGATCTCTGCTATGAAAGTATTCTCTTCTTCACGTGTCTCCTGGGTTTATTCCCGCTGAGAAGGCCGCAGCAATGGAGTTATTTCTGGATGGTTTAGAAAAATCTGTATTTCCTGACGGCGTCTTATCTATAGCTCATACCAAGGACTGGCCCGGGAGCTCTTGTGTGTCCTTTTTGCTGTTCATTAGAACTTTGATAACAAGCTGGTATTTCGGGAATGTAAAGCTTTTTAATGACAAGCATTCAAGGCTGCAAAAGCAAGGCAAGGCAAGTCACATTTTCTGGTGACACATCATTGCTGAAGGCCAGAGAAGGTTTCAAGGCTCAACCTGTGTTTAAAGTGGACGTTCATTCCAGAATTACTGTATGAATACTAATGACGGCCATGGAACACATGTACCCAGATACATGTATGGCACCATGTTTGAACTCTGCGCTCCAGTTGACCAGCAGTCAGTACTGGCTGTCTACCAGGGTTGCCATGCTACTTATGGTGTCACTCCTCTCCCCTTGTGCTATCTACAACTCTAACAGCATCAGGGTGTAGAAGAATCATTTCCCAGTCAGCCATTGCAATCACAAGGCATAGGGGAATGAGCTACACCATGGGGAGGATTAACTAAATGCAAATAGACTGTGTTGTTGAACTTCTTTTCCCATGAGCTTAGTGAATGTAGTGAAGCTTTGCTGATTTCCATCATCAATTATATTTTTTTCCTGCACCTGATTGGGAATTCTTTACAAAGTGAAGCTTCACCACACCCACAGCACTGGGGAAAATGTGTGCAACGGCACTTGCAGGATGCACAGTCTATTTTCCTTTAGTAAATCCACTCCCATGAATTTCTCTGTGTTGCTGGTAAATGCTGGACAACTGGAGCATGGGCAAGATCAAAACGTCGCTATATACTGTGTTTATAAAGGTAAATGTGTTTTTATGGTTGTTTTAAAGTGGAATTCCAAGCCAGGTCTAACAAAGCGTAAAGTGTTCATAAACCCACAACAGTAAAATCAGTGTGTATATGCAGTAAAGCATGCTTGTTATACTCACTGTGGAACATAAGGGTTAATCCTCTGCATTGTGTAAAACCGATGTTTGATCCTGACTTTTTTGATCCTCCCTTTCTTCCAGTACCCGCCTCTTATCTCCTGATAAGACATATGTTTGGAGTCACTCTGCACATGCTCAGTTTGGTGTAAATTGCTAGAAAGTGTTTTTTTTTTTGGGGGGGAGAGTGCATGTGATCAGTGCAGGGCCAATCCGCATTGTGAATAGGTTAGGGGTCCTGCATCCTCCTAGAGCAGGGCTTGAAAAAGCTGCTCGCCAAATGTAAGGAGAAATTCCTCTGTGGCGAGCAGCGAGCACAGATGAAGCATGGAGCTACTGCACCTGCGCTCCAAGCCTCATTGTGAAGCCGAGTTCCGGTTTCTGGCTTCTTCGTCTCTGCTGAGAGGAGACACCCTCTTCACTGCCACGGGGGACTTGGAGGGACTAGGAGTAAGTACTGTATACAACATGTCATATCACTATAATGGAGTACAGGGGAGCTGGGATATACATTACTGTATACATGTGATATCACTATAATGGAGTACAGGGGAGCTGGGATATACATTACTGTATACATGTCATATTACTATAATGGAGTACAGGGGAGCTTGGATATACATACTGTATACATGTCATATCACTATAATGGAGTACAGGGGAGCTGGGGGTATACATTACTGTATACATGTCATATTACTATAATGGAGTACAGGGGAGCTGGGATATACATTACTGTATACATGTCATATTACTATAATGGAGTACAGGGGAGCTTGGATATACATACTGTATACATGTCATATCACTATAATGGAGTACAGGGGAGCTGGATATACATTACTGTATACATGTCATATCGCTATAATGGAGTACAGGGGAGCTGGGATATACATACTGTATACATGTCATATCGCTATAATATGGAGTACAGGGGAGCTGGGATATACATACTGTATACATGTCATATCGCTATAATGGAGTACAGGGGAGCTGGGATATACATACTGTATACATGTCATATCACTATAATGGAGTACAGGGGAGGGGGGGGTATACATTACTGTATACATGTCATATCACTATAATGGAGTACAGGGGAGCTGGGATATACATTACTGTATACATGTCATATCACTATAATGGAGTACAGGGGAGGGGGGGTATACATTACTGTATACATGTCATATCAATATAATGGAGTACAGGGGAGGGGGGGGATATACATTACTGTATACATGTCATATCACTATAATGGAGTACAGGGGAGCTGGGATATACATACTGTATACATGTCATCACTATAATGGAGTACAGGGGAGGGGGGATATACATTACTGTATACATGTCATATCACTATAATGGAGTACAGGGGAGGGGGGATATACATTACTGTATACATGTCATATCACTATAATGGAGTACAGGGGAGGGGGGATATACATTACTGTATACATGTCATATCACTATAATGGAGTACAGGGGAGAGGGGGATATACATTACTGTATACATGTCATATCACTATAATGGAGTACAGGGGAGCTGGGATATACATACTGTATACATGTCATATCACTATAAATGGAGTACAGGGGAGCTGGGATATACATTACTGTATACATGTCATATCACTATAATAAAAAGTACAGGGGAGCTGGGATATACATACTGTATACATGTCATATCACTATAATGGAGTACAGGGGAAGGGGGATATACATACATACATGTCATATCACTATAATGGAGTACAGGGGAGGGGGGATATACATTACTGTATACATGTCATATCACTATAATGGAGTACAGGGGAGGGGGGATATACATTACTGTATACATGTCATATCACTATAATGGAGTACAGGGGAGGGGGGGATATACATTACTGTGTACAGTTTTTTATATTTTTGGACTCTTTATTCTAAAGAAAAATGTAATATCATAAGCTTTAAGGGGGTGTGGTTGGGGGCAGGCTGTGGTTGGGGGCGGACCTGGGCAAGGTTGGGTGGGGCAACTGGTGGAGAGTAAGTTTTGTGACCGGCTAGTAGGTCTGGACTCAAAATTTTAACCCCTGTCCTAGAGCATAATGAAAACTCCGCTTACAAGCTTTAACTAGTATTCAGCTGAACACTGACAGAAGTCACAAGACTGCTATATACTGCTGATGAAATAAGGTATTTGGTAGTTTATATTTACTAAGATAATTACACTTCCATGTTCTGTGTACTGTGGGAGACTGGATATAGTGAATGCAGAGTCATGGGTTTAGTAACACTTTAAATGGGCTCCGACCCTCTCCTAACTCTTATACCAACTACCCTGTGGAAGAAGATGCTTATTCTGGTTGCATGATCGTCTCCCAGCTTCAGGAGAGAGGAAGGTCAGCTTACAACAGATGCCCCAAAGTCAGCCTATGGATGATGTCACCACCCAAGCAGTCGAGCTGTTGGTGCCCCTTCACACCTAAGAGTAAAACAAATCTAAATGCCTAAGCACAATTTTGCAACGTTGACACGTGTTAGTAAAACCGTACATATCATCACAACTACTTTGTATATCCAGGTGGATTATGCCTTGTTTTTTTCAGGACAAATTGACCATTCATTTGGTGGTAAATGGTAATGGATATCTCCTGTGTGGGGTTTTTTTTTTTTTTTTTAATTTTAAATTTAGCTGTGTGTTTCTTGTTACTACCATAACCTACCATTAAAGAACAACCCAAAATAAATTTTACAGCTCTTGACGATCGCAGCGATACCATATATGTGTATGTTATTTGTTGTTTGTATCCATAGTACAGCCCAGAAACAATAGTGCATATTTTGTTTTTTTTTTTTTTACCTAAAACACACTGACATCATTTTTTTGTAATCCTGACCTTTTGACCTTGACCCACTTACCCTGGCACTGAACTAGATCAAATCTTGATCTAGGTATTTTTTCTTTAATTTTTCTTTTTTAATATTTATTTTACAAAAACAATTTCCCTTCTATGCCAGGAGTTAGAGAGATACAATGTATTTCTCTCCTCCATTCATAGAGAGAAAAAAAAAAAAGGGGGCTGGCTGTACAGTGACTTTTCACTGTGATAGCCAATCAGAGGCTATCACAGCTATCATGTGACCTGGAATTGGGGGTCCTGGGTCCCGTTTGTTAGAACGGGACCCAGGGCTCTCATTGACACCGCAGTCCTTGTGCTGGGAGCGTGCTGTGCGGTGCACTCCCGGCAGAAAGGTACGCAAATATGTGGTCCCACAGAAAAAAGCCCAGTTCTGTGATGCCGTATATTTGTGTGACGTTGGCGTCAAGGGGTTAAGCTTAGAACTGGCCTGGAATTCTACTTTAATATTCTAGGGTCAATTCCTACCTTAGAATCATCACTCTTCTTAACTTACTTTTTTCCTTTCTTTCTTTTCTTTCCTTGCATATTTGCATGGATAAACTTAACAACTTGCGCTTTAAATGCGCTGGTTAAAAAGTCTATTAAAGTGCCTTTTGATTGGAAACCATTTTCTCTGCCAATATAATCATTTGCTTGTTTTTTGCCAGGGCTGTTTGCTAACAGTGTGTATGTGTGTTGATTTTTGATTTGTTTTAACCACTTGCCTACAGGGCATTTATACCCCCTTCCTGCCCAGGCCAGTTTTCAGCTTTCAGTGCTGTCACACTTTGAATGACAATTGCGTGGTCATGCAACACTGGACCCATATGAAATTTTTATCATTTTTTTTGAGACAGAGCTTTCTTTTGGTATTTAATCACATCTGGGTTTTTTATTTTTTGTTAAACTAAAAACCGCTGAAAATTTAGAAAAAAAAGTTTTTTTCTTAGTTTTTGTTATAAAATTTAGTAAATAAGTGATTTTTCTCCTTCACTGATGTGCGCTAATGAGGCTGCTGTGATGGGCACTGATAGGCTGCACTGATGAGGAGGCACTGGTAGGAGGCACTGAACTGAAAGGCAGCACTCGTATATGGCACTGATAGGCAGCACTGACTGGCACTGATAGGCGGCACTGATTGGCAGTACTGATTGTAACAGCGTATACCTAAAGATTGACGCAGTCCTCCATTTTGTTAAGAATCTCTATGTTGTCCCTCATTTTTCCCCCTTTCCTCTCTGTTAATCCACAGGGACATATGTGTGTTGGAAGGGTCACAGGCAGGCTAGAGCATGGCAGGGAGTCCAGAGCTATAGCTCCCCAAGGGAGCCGGGGCCTAGCTGTCCAAAGAACCTATGCAATTTAACACCTCATATAAGATAAGGCAAGCTTTTCCCCAGTTCAAAGAACATTCCAAGGAAACACGACCAGATAAACACTTTTCAAAATCCATTTTTGCCCTATGTCTCATATCTTGGAATATGAGAGACTTACATAAAAACCATACATCAACAGGCTAAGAGAAGACGAACAATTTGAGTGGTCACTCGCCTTGTCTCGAATACATAGGAAAGCCAAAAAATAGATCACGTGAACCGTTCAGTGTATAATTTCATAATTAATATCTAATAAATCCTCAGACGTGTCTGCATATTAATCTACCCGTGAGTGGAGTGTCACTTATGCATATGGAAAGTTATGAGCCAAAGTATGAACTATAAGATTTTGGCTCTAGTTTAGGTCCACGCCCAGATGATCCCTCCCTACACGGGGTATTGGTCCTTGACTTCAGAGACACCCCCTGCTAGGGAACTACAAAAATGGGCTGTCAGGGCTAAGAGAAAAAAGTTGAAGACGTCTCCCATTTTAACATCAGTACCACCTGGGGAGACCCGTGCCCTTTCGCTCTGAAACTTGGATCTGCTAACCCAGGCCTTTGGCAAGTACCTTATCCCTTTCACCTCCCTCTATCTCTTTGCTGTGCTGTTGGTCTCTGTATATTCATATATATATATATATATATATATATATATATATATATATATATATATATATATATATATCTATCTTAGTTGCATCTTTTTCTGTAAATATTTTTATTGCACCCGTTTTGACCTTTTAGTAATAAATCTTTCCTTCTGTTTCTAAAGCGCTTTATTGCAATTTACGAATTCCTGCCTTTAAAGAGAACGCTACTGTGTTTGTTTAACCCTCTGTATAACCGTGTTATACAGATGATTACCTCAAACATTCTAGTGGTATTGCTGATATCGCCGAGTTTCCTCTTTCTCTGTACAAAAAGGAGGTGGTGGCAGTGTGAAGGGTTAATTGCGAAATTAACTTGACCAGGTAACAATTGATTCAGGCTGCCGGTGCAGCGATTGTGGTCCAATTAGCTGGAAAATTGTTGTGCAGGGTGCAGCTGAGTGTGGCATTGTTACGCACGTGACATCACGGTTTTAGATCAGCTAGTCCTTCGGTCACGAGTTTGGTGAGAAGGTCTGGGGTCTGACGCCGTGATCGTGACACTGATAGATGGCACTGATGGGCACTGACAGCTGGCATTGATGGACACTGACAGGTGGCACTGCTGGGGTACACTGATCATCAGGACACACTGATCATCAGTGCCCTGATGCTCAGTGTACATGTCCTCTCTGAGGGATACCAATTACCGGCTTTCCTTTCCTCCTCTCGGTCTGTCAGCGTGACAGCTCGTGGGGAGAGAAATGCCGATAACCTGCATTTCCCTATTTACATGCAATCATCTGTGATTGGACACAGCTGATCACATGACTGAGCCAACATCTTCGGCTCTTTCCGTTGATTGGTGATCCGCTGTGTCCGCGGAACACAGCTCACCACCGATCGCCGCGCTGCATGTCCTCCCAGAACTAGACAACCGCCTTGTGCCCGTCATTACCTTAAATGGTGGGCGGGAGGTGGTTAAAAGGGCCCAGTAGAACCCCCACTCAGCAAATCCCCAGATCATTGGTACCCTTGTTCAACAGATCCCCAGCTTAATAGTAACCCACAGCTCTACTGATCCCCCACTCAGTAGTCACCCCTAGCTCTGTTGATCCTCTGGTTTTCTAATCCTCCTCTCTCTCTGGTCCCCGCTACCCTCCCATTGGGGTGAGCTCCCTACCCATCTTTCCTCTCCAAGTCACATACTTGCCTGTCCCCTGTCTGTTCTGTAAATTGGGGCTCCGCAGCCTCTTCTCAAAACTTTTTAGCAGGCCTTGCGCATTTACACCACAATCTCTAGTCAATCTTAGAGAGTTTGTAGTTGGATTCTTAAGAACATTGAATATAGTTTTTTTGCCGTGTGTGTGTGTGATCCAACTGAAGATTTCAGGAAAATGCTGTGTAGTGCCAAAGAGGCTGTACAGCTAAGATTAAGGAGGACAGGAGAGTATAAACTGACCTTGCCATTCTTCATAAACTTTAAAAAGGAAATTAAAGTTTTAGCTGAGGTTGGGCTTTAACTAATGACTGTGAATCAACCATGAATACAATGGGATGTCAGGAAGTGTGTAGGAGTGGGAAGTGATTATTTATAAGGGAGGTAAGCGTAATAATAATCGGCATACACACTTATTTATTGTCTGTGCGAAATAAAAATAGGCCAAATGTTTTCTGTATCTGTACTCCCACTAAAGCTCAGTATAGCCATTTTCCCCTAAGTCCGTGTTGATAAATTCAGGAAGAATGTACAATAATGTTTTTTGGACGTTAACTTTGCCACCTGCTCACTGAACATAATGAATAATGCGGTGGAACAAGTCTGTCCCCTCTACACCACTCATACATAGAAGATAGGCATTGTCGGAAGGTTTTGTTGGTGTTCTGCTCTGTGGATGAATGCATTCTGTAGCTGGCACGGACTAGCTCAATGCTCAGGTTGTCACCATAGAAACTCTAATACAAATCCCACTTTGCTTCTAACAAGACAGCAGGGGTATTTGTCGAAAAATAACTTCACTGAGCCCTGTGGGTGCACATATTACTCACTGAGCTGCTCAGCAGTACTTCCATTTTGATGGATCTGGAATGCATATGATTAATCTACCTCCTATGTGACCAGAGAGACAGATTTGATATAAATGTCAAAAAATAATGTCAAATAATAATTATGTAAAAAATAAGTCAAGATTAAGCAGTTGCTCATCATAGCAAACAATTACATATATTTTAATTTCTGCTCTGTGATAGAAAACCCCTTAGAATATTAGTGTAGGGGTGCTTAGATTTGTTTGACACACTGGATTGCAGGCTTTTTTTTTTTTTATTTTAAGATTTTTATTTTTTTAGCATTTTTTTTTTCCTCTGTTATCTGCTATAATTCTGCAAATAATGCACATCCTGTCCTAGAGTGGCTTTGCTCGCCATTACATGGGGAGTGAGAAAATGTAGTGGGGGGGAAAAAGGAAGATTACATTGTTTGTAATTTCACTTCATTTTACAGTAACAGTAAAGTACCAGGACACTGCGTTTCTTTCATTGCACATAAAATGCACAGGTTTGAACAAGGCCGTGTTGTTCTTGCTTCTCTTGTTGCATTTTCCATAATATAAATTTAATCCTAGCAGAGGGGGGTGGGAACAGCAGGTGTGTGAAAATCTCACCAATAGAGTCCTCAAGATATTGTAAGAACCTGTCAGGTGGACTAAGAGTGGGAATACACGATTAGAAAATCGACAGATCGGTCATCCGACGACCAAGAGGCGTTCGTTGGTCGAAATCGTGGCCCACATTAACCAATCTAAAAAAATCATTCGTCGGGCAATACATAGTGTTGACGACTTCCGTACAAGTGGAAGTGATGCAGTGTGCGTGTACATGTGACTGCTGTGATTCATCGTCACATGGTCGGAAAAGGTCCCAATCGAAAGCGGAGATCGGGACCTTTCTGTGAGACACGGACATATGTGCTGGGAGCGCACAGGGCACGCGGTCTCAGCACATATGTATTTTCTAATTGCATGCAAATATGCAGCCGCTCGGTTTCAAGGCCCAAAAGCCGAGAGGCCGCATATTTGCGTGCGCTCGGGCGTCAAGGGTTTAAGCTAGCCATACACTGTTGGATTTAATTTGTTCAGCTTGGTAAACAACGTGGATGGAGATTCCACACGCTGGGTTATTGTAGTCAGACAGCCGGCAGAGGCAGTTGTCTGACTATCTTAACGGTGGCTGCATCAGTTGGAACAATCGACTTTTGTTGAGTGGAGCGGGGCCAAGTGGGCTATCCACTAAATGAATTTTGGCCAGTCCATCAGGAACCAACCGAAATGTGCTTAGTGAATTGCCAGCTTCACTCCGTAGAGCTTTGGTCTTCTATGACGAACCTAGAAGAGGTACGTTCTTTTTGTAGGGCTATATTTGAAATACTGTATACCAGCCATAATGGAGTAAGTCACATACATGAAAATAAGGTTTCCTTACAGAACTTTAAATGAACATAAAGCTTTTCTTTAGATCAGATTGCACAAGCTCGGTGCTGTACGAGACACACTGGCTGTTATATTTCATGTCTTGACTAATGGGGAATGCCGGGGGGAGAACAAGACCCCCTTGAAGTGTGATTCATTTCCTAAGTATTTTATTTCAGGCCTAGCTCCAGCTCACACAGTTTGTGAACAACATTTTACTGGATCCGGTAACTAAGCAACTAGGCCATAGAACCTGGAAATGGCCTTCCTTGTCATACAAAGGTGGATTTTTGTCAGATAAAATACCCCCACCATAGATTGTAGAATATGGAATTGTGAATGAATGCTTGTCTGATGTTCAGGTTTCCAGTGGCTGTTTGTCGGTTCAGCGGCATCAATTATATATGAGCATGTAGTATTTTTGCTTTTCTGAGCTACTAAGGGAATAAAGGATTCTAAAAGGAAAAATCAGAAATCCCCTCAGAGAATAAGCAGGGAGTGGAGGAGAGACAATGGCGCTACAGGAGAAAATGTGGTGCCGTATTGTAGTATGAATCGTTTGTAGTCAAATTAACACATGAATATTTCATGTTACTTTGGTTGCTATCCCATACCAGTAAATATGGGTAGATTTTGAAGAAAGGGTTGTACAGCACTGAAGGGTAAAAATTACTGCAGCTCTGTGATTTAGGTAAGTATGTTTTATTTGGTAAATGGTACCCATGGGGAGGAGCATGCAGAGTATGTGCATTTAAGGCTTTTCCTTCCAGAAGGATGAGCCATCTTTATTTGGGTGTTATTCCCCCCAGTGAGCATTTATTTACTGAGCTGAGATGCTGGTTTAAAGGATATGTTCACCTTTGAAAAAAAAAATAATAAAAAAAACTGCCTTTTCTTTTATTTATTTATTTTTGCACCAGTGATCAGCAGGTCGCTGGTGCCATGCATGACTCTTGCAGACTGTCAGTGTATTCTGTCTGCCCCTACATTGTACAGGCAGACAGTTTCACACTGACTGGAAGAATCCATGAACTGCCACGGTGCTCAACTGCGCCATGGTAGTTCATTGAGAACTACAAGCTGACATCCTCAAAGGATGTCGGTACTTGTAGTTGATTCATTCATGGAACTCTGTGAATGAAAGCGTTTCAGCCTTTTTTTTTTTTTTTTTCCCCTGAAAGACAATGGTCCCTCTCTTCACAGTCCGTTTTTTGCCAATATATATGTGATTTTTTTTTTTTTTTTCCCCCCTAAATATCTTTATTGATAATTTCTGTCTTCACTTCTGGTCCCGGCCGCCCAATTACATCATCCGGCATTCCCTAGGGCTTCTGGGATATCGGTGTCATCTATGCCCGAAAGTGCAGGGCCCTCAATCCCCTCATGTTTTGTGTTGTATTGGTATTGTTCTGTCACATGTTCTGTCCCCCTCTGTAATGTACAGCGCTGAGCGAACTATTGGCGCTTTATAAATACTGTATAATAATAATAATATGCCAGCAAATCTAGGGAATGCCTAATACCAAAATCTTGCGTTTATTATGAGACCTGGAGTGAAAAATGGGAAGTGCATGCTGGGTAGCCAGCTGTACAATTTTCCTGAAGAAAGAGTGGGCTTCAGGTGCCCACACTTAAGATGGCAGTGTTCACAATCTGAGGGTGCAGTAAGTCATTTTATTTTTTATAAGGAAAGCAAAGGATTACAAGTACAGGTGATCTCAACTTGCATTGTTTAAGCTGCCAATCTCACGTGGGTACCCTTTAGAAAAAAAAAATAAATGGCTGGAACTCTGCTTGAATGACATGACTGTGTGGGTTGAGCCCTGCAAAGCCATGCTCTTGGCAAAAAGTGACAGCTGGCACAGGGGAACTTCTCCCTGCACTGCTGTCACACAGAAAGCTCTGATCACCGAGCCGCTGCAGGAGCGGGTGGAACATGTAACATCCTATTAAGGTTGACATATGTAAAATCCAGTACAAATAACCTAATCTAGTCTGCGTTTTAAGTGAAAAAAAAAGGCTACAAAGGTAAGCAAGTGATAATATCCGACAAGAGGATGTCTCTTACAAAGCAACCAAATATGACATGGGGTTCACTGCCTTGCAGTTCCCTCCAGGGTTGGGAAATCCTTGGTAAATACTGAACATAGAAAAAAAAAACGGAGCGCACACCAGTGCAATGTAAAACATTCAATA